GACTCTTAGGACTCTTCTCTCATCCTGCGAGTCCGTCACGTGCCTAGTGGACTCCTGGGAACTCACTCGAGTCCTCGGAGTCCTGGACTCTTAGGACTCTTCTCATCATCCTGCGAGTCCGTCACGTGATACTTTCGGAACTACTATTCCCCGCTGCCCCTCCAGGTACCAGGGCCGGTCTCATGCGACCTCCCTCCTTCCTGTCCTGTAGTTGGCCAGCCTTCTTGTTCCGTCGTAACAAGAAGCTAGCCATTCGACGGCAGGCCAGGACGAGAGCATGGCCTCGAAGCTGGCAGACCTTCGGAAGCGGATGGACGAAGAGAGGGCCTACATCAACACGATGGAGGAAGCCCTAGAGCTTTTCCGAAGAACGCACGGCGACGACTACAACGCCTACCCTGAGGCGGTACGGGACTTCGCGAAGAAGCAAGCCCAGATTCAGGAAGAGAACCGTCGGAAAAGGCGACACCAAGATATCAAGGACGGGGAAGGACCCCAACAAGAGGAGGAGGCAGAGACCGCCTCTACCGTATCAATGGAGGTCACACCAGCCCAGAGGCCAATAGGAAGGGTCAAGGAACCTAAGGTATATAAGGGCGAATCCATCCGAGAGCTCAACGAGTTCATGGCCTCGATCCGCGCTATCTTCCGATACCAACCAAGGGTTTTTCCAACCGAGCAATCTAAGGTGGCCTTCGCTGCCCAATACTTGGAAGGACACCCTATGAAGGAATGGGATAACCAGTGTGCAACCCAAGGAGAAGGATACATAGATCCCTTGGATATCGCTGGGTTCGAAGAGTTTCTTCGGGACCTCCATGTCGACCCAGCCAACCGACAACACATCGCGGCCTTGAAGTATAACGTCGCCCTACAACGGAAAGGGCAGAGCATCCGCAAGTTCGTGGCCTACCTTGAGGACCTCGAACGCGAGATGGAACCGTATACTGAATCGCAGAAGACTGTCCACCTTCTGACGAAGATTCACCCAGAGATGAGGCAGCGGCTCCTTGAAGGAGGGTACGCAGAGCGTTTCTCTACCCACAGGGACGCTATCGTTAATATCCTGGCGATGTTAGAAATGACAAACCAGTGGGTAACAGAGAGAACTCCTACCGTTGACAAGTCCAACTCAAGGGAAGGAAGGAATACCTCCCAGGGCAGCTTTCCATTCCGAAAGGGCAACTCTGGCAGCCACAGGGCTCCCCAGTCCTCGGCCCAAGGAGAAAGAACACCCTTCTGGAATAGACACCGCCCACAAGACCAGCGGCCGGCGAGAGGACAGGCCCCTACCCACAGTAGGGACGCTAGGCCAATCCCTAGCGGAATCAATTGTTATAACTGTGGCAAGGCGGGCCACCTCGCGAAGGAATGTCGAGGCCCACGCCAACACACAGGCCCAGGGGTGAGGAAATTGGACGCCTACACCCCCAAGAGGGAGTGACTCCCAGCAGAATCCCAGAAGCCTACGGCGCAGCGTCGATTGGAGATTGAGGTAGAGGTGCAGGTAGGCCCGGATGGCACAAGGCAAGAGCCCTCCTCGACTCAGGATCTGACGCGTCCACCATCCACCCTCTGTTTGCCAAAGAGAAGGATTTGGAGTGCCGGGATAGGGCACCGCCACGGGCAAGGGCAGTCGATGGAAAAGAGGTTGTGATATATGGAGCGGCCACCACCCAGGTCCGAGCTAGGGACCACTTTCAAAGGGAATGCGTGGTCGCCCAGACCCTTCTTTCCATGGACACCCCAGGAGTAGACGTCATCCTTGGGATGGATTGGATGACGCAGGTCAACCCCCAGATCGACTGGCGCAAACAGACCTGGCGCCAGCCCTTCGATATTGCGAGAGCCGAGGTGGCGGATATTGAAGAATGGGAGGAAGGTAATACTGCCTTCGTCTTGGCATTAAACACAGACGATAGCGTGCCTACCCAATGCCCGAAGGAATATGAGGACTATATCGACGTCTTCTCAGAGGAAAAGGCAGAAGAACTGCCAGAGCTGGGAAGGAAAACCCATGCCATCGATACTGGGCCCCAGGAACCACCGTATGGGCCAGTATATAACCTATCGGAAACGGAGCTGGCCACGCTCCGTAAATACCTCGACGAGAGCGAGAAGAAGGGTTGGATCCGAAGGAGCATAAGCCCTGCAGGCGCGCCCATCCTATTCATTCAGAAGAAGGACGGAAGCCTACACCTCTGCGTAGACTACAGAGGCTTGAATAAGATTACCGTGAAGAATCGACACCCGCTGCCACTGATCATGGAGACCTTGGATCGGCTCCAAGGGTCGAGGTGCTTCACAAAGCTTGATATTAGGAACGCCTACCACCGCATCCGTATTCGCCCAGGCGACGAGTGGAAGACAGCGTTCCGTACTCGATACGGACACTTCGAGTACAGGGTGATGCCTTTTGGATTGGCTAACGCACCTGCAACGTTCCAAGCGTACATGAATGAGACCCTACAAGGGTTGGTTGACACCATATGTGTCGTATACCTTGATGATATCCTCATCTACTCCCAGAAGGAGGAGGAACACGCTGACCACGTACGAGAGGTCCTAGGACGCCTATGCGAGGCGAACCTATACGTGAAGCTCTCAAAGTGCGAGTTCAATGCCAAGAAGGTAAGCTTCCTTGGGTATATTGTCACGACGGAAGGGGTGGCTATGGAAAGCGACCGGGTTGCTGCAATCGCCGATTGGCCAATACCTAGGACCCATCGAAAGGTCCAGGTGTTCCTCGGCTTTGCCAACTTTTACCGGCGCTTTGTTAAGCAATACTCCTCCGTGGTGGCCCCAATGACAGGCCTTATGAAAGGGGCAAAGGCAGGCAAGCAGACAGGCCCGTTCGTGTGGGGGGAGGAACAGCAAAGCGCCTTCGGCCAGTTGAAGAAGGCCTTCACTACAGCCCCCACACTGGTCCATTTCGACCCATGCCGTAGAATCAGGCTCGAGACGGACTCGTCAGGCTTTGTGCTCGCTGCGAACCTGTCCCAATTAGTGGAAGGAACGAAGCCAGAAGAGAAGGGCGAATGGCACCCAGTTGCCTTTTTCAGCAAAAAGCTAGATCCAGCAGAGCTGAACTATGAAGTCCACAACCAGGAACTCCTGGCGATCGTGAAGTCCTTAGAGCAGTGGAGACACTACCTCGAAGGAAGCCAGTACCCAATTGAGGTCCTAACAGATCACAACAATCTGAAGTATTTTATGGAAACCACCGCCCTCACAAGGAGGCAAGCGCGGTGGGCGCAGGCGTTATCAGCCTATGATTTCCACATCTCCTATCGAGCGGGAAAAACAAACCCAGCAGACGGTCCATCTAGGAGACCAGACTATGAGGGTGAAAAGGGTAGCCAGAATGTGATGCTACCGACCCTTAAGAACAAGCTCCGAGAAGCCATGCAGGCAGGAGGTATCCCGCAGATAAGTCGGACGATAACAAGCCAAGAAGGCTTTCAGATAGGAGAACCTAACCTACAGCGTAGGAAGGCAAACGCTAGCAGCGTAAGACTGGGCGATGACCATAGTAAGGACACCAAGAGTCCAGGTCTCGTTGTCCCTCGGGTTGCAGTAGCTGCTGTAGCCAAGGGAGAGAGCGCCTATAGTGCTGCGTCTGAACCCCTAATAGACTTGATCAAAACCCTCCAGGCGACTGACGAGTTAGCTGTTAAAAGGGCCAAGGATATTGGGTTGGCGCGAGCAAATGGCTCTTCAGATTGGAGAGTAGACGATGCAGGCATCCTACGCTTCAAGGGAGCGGTATATGTACCTCCCAACCAGGCAGTGCGGATGGAAATTTTCAAGATTTGCCATGACGACCCACTAGCCGGGCATTTTGGATATAAGAAAACCCAAGAGTTGATCCAACGCAAATACTACTGGCCTGGCCTCAGCGAGGAAACCAGGGAGTACGTACGGGGCTGCGATAGATGCCAGCTCATCAAGCCCGTGCGGCATAGGCCATATGGCGAAATGCAGGCCTTAAGAATGCCCTCGAAACCATTTGAATCCATAAGTATGGACTTTATCACGGATCTGCCCCCAAGCGTAGGGGCGGATCAAGGCAAGGCTTCAGACTCCATCCTTGTGATTGTTGATCGTTATACTAAGGTGTCCAAATATATACCCTGTAGGAAAACCATCACGGCCCCAGAGCTGTTGCGCCTCTTCCTTGCGTTCTGGGTAAAGGACTTTGGAATCCAAGCCGAAATAATCACGGATTGAGGGAGTGTGTTCACCTGTCACTTCTGGTCAGCGTTCTGTTTTCACCTCAAAGTAAGGCGTAACCTATCGACCGCTTTCCACCCTCAATCCGATGGCCAGACCGAGAGGCAGAATCAGAATATCGAAGCCTACTTGCAGATCCACTGTAATCAGCACCAAGACAACTAGGTGGAACTCCTCCACTTCGCAGAATTGACCTACAATAACGCCTTCCACGATTCCATCCAGATGTCGCCAAACCAGGCCCGATACGGCATCAATATAGACCTAAGACAAGGGATCGAGGACGACCCCACCAGAAGGGAAGTGCCAGTCGCGAAAGATCGCATCAACCTGATCCTAGAATTGCGACAGGAGCTCGAAGAGGCGTGGAAACAGACAAAGGAAGCCCAAATACGAGGCTACAACAAGCTGCACAAGCCAATGCAGTACGTGGTAGGAGAGAAAGTATGGCTTTTGGCCAAGAATATCAGAACCACCCAGCCAAGTAGGAAGCTTGGGCACCGCTAGCTTGGCCCGTATGAGATCACCCAGCGCATCGGTAAGCAGGCTTACCAGTTGAAGCTACCGCCAAGGTATAAGGCGATCCACAACGTGTTCCACGTGTCCTTACTAGAAAGGTATTGGAAAAACACAGAGGAACCCAACCCTCCACCTAGCCCAGAAATTGTGGACGGTGAGGAAGAATACCAAGTAGAAGCGGTCCTAGACCACAGGATAATCAAATGAGGCAGGGGCCAGAGAGAGGAGTACCTTATTAGATGGGCTGGTTATACAGCTGCAGACGACCAATGGGTGCCAAAACATGACGTAGGGCTACCATTGATTGAGGCACAGCACATCTGGCCTGGGAAGTTGTAATACGTGTGCGCACACTTTACGCAGCACGGGCGGGAGCCAGCGCGAAGGCGTCCCGCAGAATCGGGAACCTCACAGCGGGCAGCAACCTTCCACCCAAGCACGGTGCGCTCACCCTTTGGAGCCTCAGACTCAGGAACGACGGAGCCCTCGGGCTCCTCAGCTTCACCCTCGACTTCAGGCGAGCGATACGGACGGACAGTGCGAGAACGTGATGTGGGGGAGGCGACACCAGAAGGAACAGGCGTGGCGGGCGCCTGCGACTCAGGAGAGCCGGACATCTGGGCCGCTGGTCGCTTGCGAGGCGTATCAACTAGAGCCTTCCCCTTCGGCTTGGGAGCCATGATGAGGGTTGGACAATGTGAGATCTATCCGTAACGATAAGCTCCTGCAATCCAGGTGGAAAGGAAGTGATTACCTTGAAGCAACAAGCAACGGTATCAAAGGTTGGGACTAAGATCGAGGGCGAAACGAAGTAAGGTGATGTTCAGGATGAAGGTGGAAGAAAGTTCGATAGGGAGTTTGGAAGTAGGAGTTTGGCGCGACACCCACAACAAAGGGGGTGGCCGCGGCAACCCACAACAAGGGGGGTCACGGGACCAGCCCACCAAGCGCGCACCCAAACAAGCCCACCACCTGGGGCAAAACAAAAAGTCCAAACAAGCCAGGAGGGTAATCAAGCCCTACCTGCAAACCTCGGAATTGAGGGCAATTCTCCCAAGAGGGGGGGTAATTGTAAGGAAGGCCATCACGTGCCACCATGTGAGGCCCCTTTGGTGGGGCCCGTAGGGCTCGGTAAAGTAGGGCGCAAGGCGCCTGGATAAAAGGGGCTGGAGGCCTCGGAAGAAGGCCTCCAGTCAATAGTCACTGTGTATACGTAGACCTATTGTGCTTACAGAATACGATACCTTCCTGCCTCCTGACCTGGTTCCCTGGACTCCCGTGAGACCTTAGGCTTACGCTTTACATAATTTCAGCGTCGAAGACATGTAAGAGGGGTTGATAGCTCCATGCCCTGTGGCGATCTAGTGTCTGTTCTAGTATATAGCGTATCTGTAGCCAACCTTTCTGTTGCCTGCTTAGTGCTGCTCTGATCCATTAGAGAAGATGGTGACATCTGTTAGTAGTAGATGGTCCCACCATTGTTTGAAGGTGGCTGACGTAGTGATCTTGTCCTGGCCACCTATAGGATCTGTCCTACATCTAGTGGTGAAGTGTAGTAGGTTGAGTTGTAGCCGAGGTATGCTAGGCAGTAGTCCTAGTCTCTAGACTTTGCAGTAGTCCTAGTCTCTAGACTTTGGTTTTAGGACGTTGGTGTGTTCCGGCTCCTCTGCCCCTACTAATCATAGGGGGCTGAATGTGCTAGACGAGAGGGTGGCTTGCCTCTATAGTCTAGAGGCGCATAGCGAAATGGAGTTTGGCTTCTTTAAGGGCTGCCATAGCAGAGAGGAGGCTAGCGTCCCTAAAAAGGGTGACTGTTAGTGTGGTGCGCTAGACTAGGAGTACACCTCTTGCTGCAAGCAACAGCATTTTGTCAACTAGGTCAACATGCCATCTGTTCCTTATGCTGACTGTAATGCCTCTGCTGCTGCGTTAGAGCCGGGGTGGCTTGTGTCAGCCTGCGTACCATGCTTCTACACCAGCTTATAGGACATGCACTCACTAACACTACATGACGAAGTCTCCGCTTAAACAAAGAACAAGCCCATTAGCTGCCGACCATCCTGACATGGGGCCAGCCCCTAGACTAGGAAAATCACCTAGATTATATCATTCCTCACCCTAGTCAGGCCCTTCTGACTTTTCAATGCTAGCGAGCTCTTAAAGGCAATTGACAAAAAGACAGCTATCTCAAGGCACGACCTAGGCTGTTAAGGATACTACAACCTAGCTAAATGAACCTAGTAACGTAAGTCGTGGCGTAACCAGGAGAATGGCGTAAACAGGATAGTGGGGAATATTGAGCATCAAGAGTATCACCAAACCAATGTAAACCCCCAACATGGTGCGAAAGCGTAGTCAGAAAGCCAAAGAACTAGAAGTTTTATTGGCACAAGCTGTTGCTGGAGTTAAATCCGGATTATACAAATCTTCGTACAGTGCTGCAAAGGCTTTACACCTTCGGCCAGACACAGTCCTTCAACGCGTTAATGGGAAACTGTCACGGAGAGAAGCTCGACAACAACAACAACTGCTATCGCCAGCGCAAGAGCAGACACTTTTAAAGTGGATAAAGGTGCTAACAATTAGTGGATATGCTCCTAGTCACCGTATATTGCGGGATATTGCTGACGAAATCCGTGTCAACCGATGCCGCGTTTTCGAACTGTCGCACCCTAACAGTCAACATGCCCAACACACTCATCACAAAGAGATTCTGAACTTTCCCCTTGGACAAGACTGGGTCCCACAGTTTATAAAACGACATCCGCATTTACAAATCCAACTAGGCAGACGGGTCGAAGCACAAAGAATGAGTGGAGTTACAAAAGATGTGTTAACGGGGTGGTTTGACGCGTACAAGGACCTTGTGGCGCGTCTAGGAATACAAGAACACAACGTGTATGACATGGATGAAACTGGATTTTCGATTGGCACTATGGAGTGTACTCGGATCATCGTTGATTCTACACTCCGTACATGTCACCAGGCACACCAAGGCCAGCAGGAATGGGTGTCTGCTGTTGAATGTATCTGTATGGATGGAACGACCATTAACCCTCTTATTATATTCAAGGGTCAGAACATCTTACAAAACTGGATCCCTCCTGAGGTTATCGATAAATGGCACTTCTCTGCTAATACAAAGGGTTGGACAAGCAACTTACATGGCATCGAGTGGTTAAAACGTGTGTTTGAACCAGCAACGCATGCGAAAGCGACATCTAATGGAGCGCAACAACAACGGTTACTCATATGCGATGGCCACGACAGTCATATAAGTGGAGGCTTTATATCCCATTGTATGCAAAATCGAATATCTATCCTTGTCCTCCCACCGCACACTTCCCATGTGTTGCAACCACTCGATGTTGCAGTCTTCGGACCATTGAAAAAACATCTCACAAGTGCGCTCTCACATTTGAATGAAGCGCAACTTACACGCATACAAAAAGCAGAATGGCTATCTGCATACATCAAAGCGAGAGCAATTGCGCTATCTACTCATAATATTACATCTGCATGGAGGGGTGCTGGTCTACAACCTTTCCAACCTCAACGGGTGATCCGGATGGTGACGCTCCAACAGACAGATGTGACAGATGATCAACCAAAAACACCAACTGAGTACGATATTTTTGACAATGTCTTTCAGAACAGTAGTCCACCCGACTGTTCTACATTGCGCAAAGCGAACACTGTCCTGGTTGCGGCCTTAGAGACGCGTACAGTCCTAAACACACCCACTACTCAATATATCCGTCGGTTTGCTGATGAGACTGAGCGACTTAATACACGCAACTTCTTACACCAACGCGAGGCAGATAACCTACGATCGATAATACAAACACGGAGAGCACAGAGCAAAGGGAAATGCGCAATTTTAAAGGGCCACTTCCACATAACTACAGAGGAATTACGCTCCCAAGTCATTGAGGCCGAGGAGGCCACCCAGAAAGCGACTACCAAAGGCAAGAGTACAGCGACAAATATCACTGTACCTGACCAAACCGAGAATGTCGAGGAGGATGAGAACCCAGAAGAAGTATATGGCTGCATTATAGTTGAATACTAAAGTAATAATACTCTACTTTTCGCTTTCTTCGTGGTCGGTCTTCCCCCACTATCCCGTTTACGCCATTCTCCCGGTTACGCCACGACTTACGTTATGTGTTATGGCTAAGTGCTAGTGCTATGGCTAGCGCTTACAGCTACAACCTCACGTGATGGATAACATTGGATATCATGGATATTATGATATCTATGTTATCTACAGGGATCAACAGAATGTCATCTAATGGATAACATTAGATATCATGGATATTATGATATCTATGTTATCTACAGGGATCCACAGAATGTCATGTAATGGATAACATTAGATATCATGGATATTATTTTATCTTTGTTATCCATAGGGATCCACAGAATATCAGGTGATGGATAACATTAGATATCATGGATATTATGTTATCCATGTTATCTACGGATATCCCTTTGGCACAACGCCACTATATAAGTAGATAGTATTTCCTTAGATAGGAGCTTCGTGCTTAACTCAATATAGTATTCTTTACAATACTGTAATGTGTTACTTGGAAAGCCTTTGTGTCTAATCCCCTGCCTCCTCTCTCAAGTTAACGTTATGCAAGAAACCTCTGTGTCTTCTATTGTTTAGAAGTCAGTGTTACAGTATGCCTACTACTACAACTACAGCACTTGCATAGACCTTCACATAGGCCCTATAGGACTGAACTGCACCAAGAAAACCAGATGCGCCAACTGCCATAGAACCTTCCTAGCTAGACATGAGCACTGCCTAGCAACTCCTAAGCGCAAGAACGGCAAGATCATCAAGCCTACCAAACGGGAGCTTGACTCTCTGCCAGTAGGGAGACAAGGCCTTCCGAGACACACACACCACCACCCCTATGGAAATTGCCCCTAAGTCACAACCTCAGCCCTAGACACAAGGCCTAGCAACCAATGTTGCCTCTAACCAACCTAAAAGGAAACGGGGCTTAGCAATTACAGCCTATGAAAACGCTAGTACACTAACTGATACTAGCATCACCACCCCCTAAGCTAGCACTAGCAGATGCCCATAGAGGACTACAGCCTCCTAGAGGAGCCTCAACCTAGCCGACCTCTCAGCTTAGAGCTTCAGCTAGGAGGAAACACCATCTAGTGCCTAGGAAGAGGACATAGAAATGGACTCTACCACCAACACACCTATATGTTAGGACTACACACTACACACTGCAGCTACTGCTGCCACAAATAGCCTAAAAATCGGGACCTATAGGTCTGCTAGGCAAACATAGGCAAAAGGGCGCCCGGCCACATCACTACACTCCACCTCGCCTTCTTAGAGAAGATAGACGTTGTCTGCATACAAGAACCTTTCACCGTCCCTAGCTCAAGGACTTAGAACCACCTAGGATATGACTGCTATGCACTAGTCGACAGCTAGGACAGCATAGATCCAGAACAACAGGAAGAAGAGAGACCCTAGGTTATGACCTACATACGAAAAGGGGCAGGCCTTAAGACCTAGCAACAACACCCTATGGAAAGCTACAACATGCTATGGACAGACATCAACAGCTATGCTATTTTCACCACCTACAGACAGCCCCTCTAGCCACATGTGCTCAACTACGTCACGCACCTAGCCCCCCTACCACACTGCCTTATTAGTAGCGACTTCAATGCCTAGCATGACATGTTTGAGCTAGGAGTACAGGCTGTACACCAAGGCGCAGAGCTTGCGAGATGGGCAGGTGAAAGTGGCATGGATTTTATTGGGATCCTAGGAGTCCCAACCTAGAGAGCAGGCCACTGTAATCGTGGGTGCACCAGATGTGAGAATCTAGCCACCCAAGGAAGGGGTATTTTACTAAGACAACACACTGTCTTAGGAAACAGAGCCAAAGGGTCGTAGCTTAGACTATTACACAATGCAGCAATCAGGTGTATGATGTAATGGAGTGGTTTAGACAAGTTGTAACAAATGTTGAGTCTGAGAACTCAGGTGTAACACTGACTGCTAAACAATAGAAGACACAGAGGTTTCTTGCGTAAGGTTGACTTGACAGAGGAGGCAGGGGATTAGACATAAAGGCTTTCCAAGTAACATGTTACAGTATTGTAAACAATACTATATTGAGTTGAGCACGAGGCTCCTATCTAAGGAAATACTATCTACTTATATAGTGGCGTCGTGCCTCATGGGTAATCTGGATAGTTGGCGGATAGCTAGATATTCAGGATAGTTCGTGGATAGCTCAACTATCCAATATCCACTAGTTTCTGCAACTATCCATTAGCCCCATCACATGGCAGCCTACCCCGCTTGCCCCCTGTGACTCACACATCACGTTACTAGGCCCTGGTCCTGTAACCATGACGTCACGTTACCGTAGCCGTAACATCAGGGATAAGTCAGAGGTTAGCACCTCACTGACTTTTCAGAAACAAGGAGTAACAAGATCAATGCTTGGAAGCTTGGAAAAGACGTGGAAGTGATAGTCGATTTACTGTATTGTCTGCTTGCCCTTTCTTAAGGAAAGGGCAATCCTATTTATGCTACAGGGGTGTAGTTCTCTCATTTTCCAAGACTTTCCATGACTAACCAGGCTTGGTAACTGTAGTCGACGTAAGAGAATCCCATAGAACCATCTCATAGGTTCCTAGCCTATAGGAAGTGAAAGGAGGTCCAAGGTCAGAGTACCCCTATAGACAAATTAAGTCATAACTTAACCAATCTGGTGGGTAACTAAGGAGCCATGATGTGTAATGAATCATAGAGGGTTGTAGAAGGTTTTGGAGCTATCGTTCATGTTCCTAGGCCTCTAGTTGATGGAGATATGTCATGTGTAGTATTAGCCCAGTAACTAAGGAGTGATGTCATGTAATGAATCATAGAGGGTTGTAGAGATATGTATGTGGTCATATTGGCCCAGTAACTAAGGAGCAATGACGTGTAATGAATCATAGAGGGTTGTAGCAATCGTTGAGTAGTATTGCTCTTGTTGTTGGTGTGACAAGCCAAAATATGTATAGTGACTTGTAGGTTTGAGGAGGAGATTTCTAAGTTTGCTCTTGAGTTTGATAGCAAACTGAGTGCAACGAATGTCAGTATGACAGCCACGTCCTTGACCTAACCTTCTATAACATACCTTTTGTGCAGTCCACAGTCCGCACTAACATGCACAGTGGTTCTGACCATGAGACGCAGGTTACAATAATACCTAGACGTAGCCACACCCCCCTTAAACAACATAATTTCAGGATACCAGACTCTGCCCTCCCTAAGTTTGCAGGGCTAATCCAGAACAGAATTGCCTCCCTAACACCGCTCTCTAACACACTGGACCTAGCATGCATCAACTGATATGCTACAGCTATCACAGAGGTCTCTAGCACCTGTATTCAGACAGTAGGGAAGCCAGACCGTAGAACAGGCCACCTAGCCCCATAGTGGACACCATAGTGCCAGGAGGCGCACTAATGCCACCTCCTCTATAGAGACGATACAGAGGACAGCCCCTCTGAAACCACATGTGAATTCCACCGCATAGTGTGCCAGGCCAAACGTGACTAGTAGAAACATATCATCAATGGCGTCAAAGACGACAAGGCACTCTACAAAGCCATTAGATGGCACAAGCTCTCCTCTAACCTTAAGGCGCACTACTAACAATCAATGGCCAAACCATTACAATGGGAAAAGCAGAAGCCCTCTAGACATCAATACTAGAAAGGTTTCGCGACACAGATGACCTACCAACAGACCCCCTATCTAGCTAGAACGGCACTAGCCACCTACCCTAGAACCAAGGCATCTTACTAGAGACAGAACGAAACACCATCAGAGTCTCTAGCACCTCTCTAGGCACTGACTAAGTTATTGTACGGCTCCTCAAAGCATGCTAGGAACTCATCAAAATTGCAATCCACAACCTATACAACAGATGTCTTGCAGTCAACCACTTCCCCTAAAACTAGAAGCTAGTAGAAGTCGCTATGCTTCCAAAAGTCGGCAAGAAAGACAGGACCTCACTGCACTCCTAGAGACCTATCGCCCTCCTCTCCTGCATCTCTAAAGGCCTAGAAAGAATAGTACCATAACAACTGTAACAACCATAACAACCATAACAACCATAACAACCATAACAACCATAACAACCATAACAACCGTAATAACCATAACAACCGTAACAACCATAACAACCGTAACAACCATAACAACTGTAACAACTGTAACAACCATAACAACCATAACAACCGTAACAACCGTAACAACTGTAACAACCGTAACAACTGTAACAAACGTAACATGAGTATCACTTTCGGCACCTAAAGCAGATGCGATACAGCTAGAAAGGGGTATGGTTGATGCTAAGAGGGAGAATATATATAGGGAGGGTAGTTGTATAGGGGGGGCTTAGCTACATACTTAGCGCTGTGGCAACTGTAGCTAAACTAGCCATAATTTTCAACATGTTAGGTAGCTTAGGAGACGTCTAAAGATGGTTAATTCCAAGTAGTTTGAATTGATTCAAGGCGTTGTGGTTGAATTGATTTATATAATATATATGTGGTTGGTAGAAAGTGGCCGACTTGCTTAACTCGTTATACATGTACGTTAACTAAAGTTGTATATTATGTAGGTTTTCTAGCATGTCGATCTCTTAATGTTGTATGAGGAAGATCATAGATTCGCGCAACCTAAGTTACACTTAATTTTGGGTTTAATTTAAGCATTTGAAATGCAAGAATCATTCTTCTTTCTTCGTACGAAATTGTCATGTGCATTCTTCATCGCACAAACTATTGAGACCCCCATTTACCTGGTCGAGTGAAATGATCAATGGGACGGGATGACCGGCGCCTCGGGCTATTATATGTAGTTCCTGGGCGAGTCTCGCTGTATCAAGCCATACCAAATGCGAGTCTATAATCAATAGTAAACAGAGAAGGGCAGCGAGATGAATATTATAGTACTATCAATGATTTTTATGGCCTATGGGATAGGTCGTGAGACAGGCCTCATCATAAGTTCCGGACGATGCAACATTCGTGCCCGTCACATTATCATAAGCCAACCTAATCAATGATGGCTCAAAAGGTGAATATTGAGGCCATCCACCCCTGTACTTCGTCAACCCAGTCCAAGGAGATTTTGCAAAAGCTGCCCACGCGCCCTGGATATATCCCCTAATCGAAACCTCCACCGCGGTATCAGGAGGAATTCCTGGTCCGGTAGGAAGCGTGTTCCAAATGAAGGCAATCTCGGAGCAATGCCAGGCGCCGCTATCAGGGTTGGTGAACAGGCGAGTGTTTGGGAAGTTTCCGAACCACCGGTAACGCCATATAGGAAGGCCATGTGAGGCGCTGACATTTGCTCGTGCGCCTGCAGGGCACGCAAACTCCCTATTAGTGTAATCAACCCAGAATTGATGGTCTTGAGTGACGCCATTGAGAGCAAATAAGGGAATGTATGCGCCCGTCTCGAAATCGTTATTCCCAGTCAAAACAGGGAGTTGGGCAAATTTGCCTGCTTTTGAAAGAGCGGGATAGTCGGCAAAGCCCGTGATTCCGTCGACGCTGGGACCGAAGCTGTTGGACCCAATCGCAATCGCAGCAAACAGCTCTTTGAAATCCTTCGTTTGTAGACACGAAAGTATATCATGATGGCTAGAAGTAACGTTTGTGCCGCAACCAAGAGTATCAGAGACGCTGTACCATGCTTGGGCATTGTTCGATGGCAAGGCTTTTCCAAAACCAGCAGCACCAGACTCCATAATGAAGCCAGAAACGATGGGGTTAGACGCATAGGAATAGGCGTAGTGGTCCACTGAGGCTGAACCAGCAGATTGGCCGAATAGCGTCAACCTTGAGGAATCGCCGCCAAAAGCGCGTATGTTGTCTCTTACCCATTCTACAGCCATCCGCTGGTCAAGGAATCCGGGGTTATGATTTTCAGACTCCGGATCGCCATGGAATCCCAGGATATCGACCCGGTAGCTAAGACGAGAGTTTTAGAATTTGCCCCCCAGTCATTTGATGACGGATTGCTTACTTGAGGGTGACGACAATAACATCCTGTTCGGCTGCGAGATGCTGCCCGTCGTAATAGCCAATCTGAGTACTCCCTCCAGTGTAACTGCCCCCATAGACATAGATCATGACAGCTTTGTCTGATTCCCCACCAGCGGGAACCCAGACATTCAGAGTTAGGCAGTCTTCACTAAAAGTTGCCAAAACTTGAAATAAGTCCGAGAGAGTTGCAATTCCTTGGGCAGTAAGATTTGCAAGAGATATATCGTACTTGTTGAGATCATTGCCACGAGCGGCGAACGGCGTGTTGGCTGGACAAGCGTATCCCTAGGGTTGGAATGTGAATATACTCTCGAATTTGCCAGGATTAGGGAAAAACTTACTATACTGCTTCCATTAATGGGTTTATCACCATGATATTTCTTCGGTGGCATAAATCTCAGATTTCCAACTGGTGGTAGTGCATAAGGAATCCCGAGATATACAGAGACATCTGAATTGACAGTCGCTGCGTGGCCGCTAACTGGGCCGCTGGATGTTTTGATCGGTTGACCAACAAGATGCCCGTGGCATCTTGAGATCCCAAGGAAGAGAATAAGACAAGAAACCTTCATTTTACTGGTTGGTATGTAGAATGGTGAGGGTTCTGGGAGGGTATACGCCACGGCTTTATACTACGAACTCAAGACATCGCCTTATCAAGCTTGTAGTATCTATGCGCTTGTAGTATCTATGCAAATGCATTACCCTCAGAGTACTTCTATTATCACACTAAGTCATATTCGGAGCATATCTGCTGCAAAACCCGAATCTCACACCTTCGGACACACTTGGAGATATAAGTGGTTGAAGTCAAGGTGGCGTAGTGTTTTTGAAAATGGGATGTTTGGGGCTATCGGACTCTCTGTTCTGAAACCAAGAGCTGCAGCAGTACACTCAAGCCAAAAACCTGATCAATTTCCCTGTTCGGAGTCATCCGTCTATCCGATATGCAAGGTTCCACTGGACTACGCCCTTTGTTCTCAGGTGTCACGGGGCTGTGAGGGATGTACCAGGTCCTTGTCAGTGTGAGACGAAAGGTTAGTCTTCCTCAGCGGGATCGACGTTGATCTCCACCAGAGAAGTGGGGACACAAAATACGAAGACTGCTGAGCTTTTCGATTCTGAAGCTGATTTTGGCCCAAGGTCGCACAAGCATATCATTTTTGGTTGATTTCATAAACGGATGCGAAGGTGGGTTTTAACATGGGCTTTCACAAAATTTGAAGTACATGGAATCGATTTAGGAAATATTCGGATAGACTTTTTCATTTCTAGTCTCTAAATTGCAAATACCATCAAAACAAACTGCGATATGAGCCGGAAACTGTAATCGCAGACTTCTACCTCCGATATGATATTCACAATTCAAAACACCTCTTGATTTGATCTGCGGTCTTGGCATAACCCTCACAGCAGTCGGCATATGTTTTTCCATCTTGTTCTAGTTCTTTCCAGCAATGCTCCAGCCCCTCTAATTCTCGACGAGCTATCCTCTGCAAAATGTCCTGATCCTGGACAGACAACAGACCGGATTGAGACTCTGATAGTACGGAATGCATCTTTGCAAAAGCAGTTGCCATCCCAATCAGCATACCCTTGTGACTCATTGGGCGCATCGAAAAGTGTAACATATGAACCGCAAATTCCGATGGAAACATTTTGAGAATTTCCTTCAATGAGGGTAGCGCGGTAGGGGAGAGACCCTGTTGCACTATCATATTTATACCAATTCCGGCAAGGCCTAGGCTATTGGTACGTTGGACTTCATCCATCCCAGCAGGACATTCTCTCTCGATGTCGAAGCCTCCCTGTGCACGCAGAATCTTGATGATTGAGCAGACAAACGTGTTCTTGGTTCTGATTGGAACCGACACAAACATTTGGAGAAGACAAGGGTGAGAGATCCATAGCGGTAGTAGCTTCTCGATAACCGGGCGGCCTCCAATGTCCAGAGATGGGAGCTCTGGGAACTTGAACAAGGTTGTGGCTGGCTGGAAAGCTTTGGGTATCCCCGAACTCCAACCACTGAAGGGTCGCTGAAACACAGGATATCCAGAAAGGATGTCCTTGTTGTTGTCATCATCGCCATTCTGCACCATGGCATCGAGAGTCCGCAGAATTGAAGAGTTGTTGGGAAGGGTATCAATCCATTTCGTCAAGACATTGTATTCATCCTGGGTGAAAGAGCCAAACATTCTTCCGTTCCATTGCAATTCTTGGATAAAGCGGCTTTTGCGACTATCTCCCTTGCAAATCCAGTACTTGCTGGAACTGAGCGCATCGAGCAGCCCCTTCTGCCATTCTTTGGATCCTAGTGCGACTGGGTCAAGCCAGTCGGCCACGCTTCGGGACCCGATTTTGACCCGGCTACTGCAATGAAACCCATGGGCGACCTGTGCCTTGGCCCTGAATATGTTGATTACCTTGACTTCTGCTGGGCTCAGAGAAATATTAGAGCCACTATTCAATTGTTTTTGGGATGGGCAAATAACTGCTCCTGGCAAGCATGACGAGAGGAGGTAGCCTGCCTGAAGCTTTCCCCATGCCTTTTGTGCACCCTCCTGCCCTTCACTTTCGAGTACGTGCCTCATGTATTCGCAAACCACCTCTATCGCAATTGCACTGTGGCCGGAATGGGTGTTGTCTATCGATATGTGGAGGAGGAAGTAATACGGGTCTATTCCAACTTCTTTCAATTCCCGAGTGGCCTTTAGCGTGTCCGTTGAAATAGCTTCAAAATGAAGGTTGAATCCGAGGATCTCCGGTAGAAACTCATGCGGGAAGAGAGAAATCAGTAGTTGAGCGATTGCGGATTTCCATACGGAAAGCTCGTTGAGCTGATGCCGTGGGTGACCAAAGTCGAGAGATTCTGCAGTAGGTAGGTCCGGAGCGGTAGTTTCGAGCAGCTTGTGGTACAAGTGAACGTGGTTCTTTCGCAAATCACCATCACCCAATTCTTCGGACAAGATCTGCCATGCCCCTTTCATCGTCTTCAAGAGGGCAAATGGTGTGGTTACCTTGCCAATATAACCCAGCCAAGCGCCATCGACATACTTGACGGGAGAAAGTTGCTTCAACCACCAAATTGCTTCTTCCCTGTCGCTGACCAACTCCCGTGGAGACCCTTCTTTTCGTCTAATGTTATAGTCTTCCCATTCCTTTCCAATACCACGATCCCGCCTGTGTTGAAACGCTTCCAGAGCATGCCGAGAGAAGGGATGAACTGACAGAATACTGTCATGTAGAGGTAGTGTCCGACCCGCTGTGCTTGTCTCCTCTAGCAATGAAACCAAGAGTCCCTTGGCCTGAGGAAGGACTTCGGGGAACTTCTCAAGATTGTGTAGTTGGTAGTATAATTGCTTGAGCTTTTTGAGTTCGTCCAGCTTCTCATCATCGGCATCTTTGTCGCGGGCTTCCCACTTTCGATGGCTGATCTGAATCTTTATTTCAGTCGATTTATTGCGAAAAACATTGTGGCCAAACCTCAAGCTCCAATGCCTTCGGAGCCAAGTTTTCGATCGAGATGGAGCTAAGAGTATAACGGCTACCACGGAAGCGACAGTAGCAAATGTCGGAAACCATTGAACTAAGAGAGAGTTCATGATGAGTCGGGGTTTATTGAGTGCCCAAAGTAAGATGAATGGAATTGGACGGCTCTCTAGAAGTGCAATTCCCAATACTCAAAAGCTGATCCGCAATATTCAGTGTCACAGGGGTCTCGATGATTAGCGGAGCTTCCGATATGTGGCTTTCTACACCTTACAACACCATATAATATATTATCATCCTTATCACTACTATTGCTATTTCGGCCTTATCACAAAACCAAAGTGGCTTAAGCTCGATCCGGAGAGGAAAGTATAATTTTAGTATAGTGTAATGCTTCTATTCAAATTTCACAGCAGCAGTAATATATTCTAAATGCTAAAGTCTCGAGAGATCACATTTTTGTCACGACATGCATTCCATTGAATGCTGGCCAGACCAGTTCCATGCCCTGTCTACTTGGTAGAGCTGCATTTATTGATCCACTCATTTTCAGGCCTCAAGAAGTAGCTGAGAAAGTACCGATTGTTTGCGCCATCAACTGGCTGTGTTACTCTGTGCTTTGGCGAATGCAGCTTCCCCTCCGAGAGAGCCTGCAGTGTGTCGGCGATATTGACCAGGGTACATCCTTCTGGGGGTGGCGGGATGAAAGCCCATCTGTCGGCGTCGGGAAGAAAAGCATGGATGCTCCAATCCTTGTAAAACAAAAGGGTCAAGGTTCCGCCGTCCGTGTGTAGGTTTTCGCCAACGTCTGACAACCGAGCCAGGGATGGGTGGAGGACAAATTTCAGTCCAGTGTCGCTGGGGTGATCGACGCGGTGGTGCAGCATGAAATCTTCTGAGAGACTTTTGAGCAATGTCAAGCAAGCCTCGTCACAACTAGCAATGAAGCTGCTGATCTTGGCCCAATCATGCTGGAACAGCTGCGGCATTTTCGAGACAGAAGCGCCGTCTGATGTAATTTCGTCTCGTGATATCTAATTTCCATTAGGTCAGCAGAGATACCATGGGTATGATCTACCAGACCGGGGGTCGCGCATTCTTACCTCGAACGACTCACCCCCGTGGCCCCTCTTATATCCGAAATCCTGGGAAGCTTTGATGTCAAGCCTGGCGTCCCCTGCTTTGGCCTCGTCGGGCTGGTCGAAGTACTTCTCAACTACCGTATTGACGTCGGAGAGATGTGCAAGCACACCTTTGCTCTCCGCATCTCCACGGAAGTCCAGATAAAAAAAGCCTGCCCCGGAGCACACTTTGTTGAGGAGAGCAATCTCAGCGGGATCTTTTTTGAGGAGTCGTGGGAGCGAGATGGTCGAGATCTGGGCAATAGAAGTGCCGCCAAGGGCCGCTCCATTGGCAGGGTCTGAAAGGTGGCTTGCCATGTTGATTGGGAAATGCGTATTCCGCTCTGTTGTGTCTGAATGTGTGAGATTTGGTAGAATCACGTCGAGTTTGCAAAGATAATGAAGTGTCTGTGCTAAGTAGACCGTTGCATCATATCTCAGTTCAGCTATAACATGTAGTGGGTCGGTGGGGAATCACGAAGCGGCTGAAATGCAGAACTAGTTCCCCCGCACCACCCTAACTAGAATATAAACATTTATATCAAGTCACCAAGTATCATTTTAATCAATTTAATTCATGGGCAAAAGATCTAAATACCCTGCACAACCCTGGTAAAGATTCTTTTACTCACCTTACCGCCTTTCTACTTTAGATTTAAATTCAATTATAGCATGTAGCTCACTAGATATCTTCAAGATATTACTCACTATAACCTCCTAAACTACCCACACCTTTTATCGGTATAACTCACTAAACATGTTTTACTCTATTTATAATAACAGGTTCTCTTTTTCTTATTATCTAAAAATTAACATAGATTAGTTAGTATATAACGTACATGTATAACGAACCGGCCAAACAAGCGAACCGGCCAATCCATTTTACACCTTAAATCACGAATTCATAACTTAATATCTCAACAACCCTTTAATAATAAGTTATAAAAATATGTACTTAGCCTTTTATAAGCATTTAAAGTACTCTATTTGATTTTTAAAGCAATTAGTATTGTAGTTATTAAGATACTAAGAATTAGGTCAAAAGTGGGGGCTAAAACTCAATATCTTAATAACTACAATACTAATTGCTTTAAAAATCAAATAGAGTACTTTAAATGCTTATAAAAGGCTAAGTACATATTTTTATAACTTATTATTAAAGGGTTGTTGAGATATTAAGTTATGAAATTCGTGATTTAAGGTGTAAAATGGATTGGCCGGTTCGCTTGTTTGGCCGGTTCGTTATACATGTACGTTAGAGAAAATAAACTTCATTTAATATAATATGTAAAAATAGTTGTTATTTACGTGTTCTTAGAAAATCGGCCCTTAATTCATTTTACATACTTTTTTCTTTTGGTAAGTTACTAAATGCAGCGAGATATAGGGTCGTGCGCTAGCCTTCAGCTGTTGTCTTACAATATGAAACCTGTCCCACTGCCAGCGCTTTTACGAATGGAGCAAAGACCCCGGAAAGACCCCAGCCTTTTATTACAAAAACAGAAGTGGCGTGCAGGAAAGTATAGATCTCTGTATATCCCAGCTGAATCAGTAATGCACGAGAGATCTCAGCTCTTGTCTTGCAATATGAGGCGAGACATAGGATGAGGTACAGTAGGCTTCAGCTCTTCTCTTGCAATATGAAGCAAGGCAAATGGTAAGGTACAGTAGGCTTCAGCTCTTCTCTTGCAATATGAAGCAAGGCAAATGGTAAGGTATAGTAGGCTTCAGCTCTTGTCTTGCAACCCAAGGAAAGACTCGGGATGAGGTATACTTGAGCCATTGGCCCTCGAACCAAAGTGAGACGAAGGGTGAGTGAGCCATTCAGAGGATGGGCTAAAATTCAGCGCCGAAAGAATTTGTACGAGCCCGTGCGTAAACAGAGCGAATGCGGTTATTTTGCTGTAGGTTGTGCACGGGGAGATTCTCTTTCCGGAGCTCCGTTGGAATCTGCTCCTTTAGATTCGTTATTGGGGTGCCGGATTCGCCTCCTATACATCCGCCACTGCCTCTCGCTATCTCATCTTTGACTCCTTTCAGTATTCATGTGCATTCTCATCGTCCTCGTACTCTCGTCTTGCAGCCACATACGCCACAGTTAAACCCAGGTTGATTTCCTTCACACGCATATCAAGCGCTGGCATACTGTCCCGAAGGACCGGCTTCCGATGTCCTCTTCAAGTTCCTGTACCCTATCTCGAACTTCAAGCATGAGCGGATTTGGTGAAGAATCTGCGGACGAAACAACCCAGTTACTGCCAAAGCAAGCAAAAACCGAGCCTGAGAAAAACAGTAAAATATTTAGACTATGGCAGGTTGGAGCACTTATCGGTAAGCAGTGGTTCTTGCCCATCCTGTCAGCACATTTTAATCTGATGAACTTTGCAGGAATCCTCTTGGCATACGCGGATACCTCTCTTGTGTGGGCGACTCATGAGACGATAGCGTCACGATTTAATAGCCTTCAGAACTCGTCATGGATGATGACGAGTTTCACGATGGGGTATTGCGTAACATTGCCGCTGGTGAGCTACTTCTAGTTGTTGAAGCGTTTGATAGATTCGGTTCTTGAGGACGAACTCCTGTCAATTTCACTAACAGACCTCAATAGTATGGAAGATTAAGTGATAGTTATGGTAGCCTACGCCCTCTACTGGTGGCGTACTGTACATTTTGTATTGGTAGCACACTCTGGTAAGTGATAGCCCAGAATTATTCAGATATGACCGTTGCCTTTCAAACGTACTTACATGAGAATAGCGGAATAGGTCAAACCTATTGGCAGGTGATTTTGGGTAGGGTTGTTGCCGGCTGCGGGGCATCAGGGATGGTCTCTCTGGCTTCCATTATCATCACAGGTGCGTTGGTAGCACTATTTTCTACAATAGCTGTGCCAGCTGACTTTTTTAAACAGAGCTCGCCGACTCTTCCGACGTCGCGGTTTTACGAAGTTATGTCAATATAGCCTCAACAATCGGACTCTCAGGGGGTGGCCCGCTTGGCGGGTTTCTCGCTGGAGCAATTGGATGGAGATGGTAGGCACCCAGTCGCGTCTTTTCTATGAATTATTGCTAATGTTTCCAAAGGTTATTTCTCGGCCAAGTCCCAATCGCAGCTGCTTCTTGTTTGCTTATGGCGAAGAGCTTCGAAGTTATGTGCCCAAAAGTAGAACAGCAAGAGGAACAACAGCGAGAAGAATCTGTCCTGGCTTTCGATTTCCCAGGGGCGATCACTCTTGCCATAGCAATATCCTCGCTTTTGGCAGTCATCGATTTACAGGGCTCGCTGTCCGGGTCGCATTCTCTTGTTCAGAGTTTGATTGTTATTGGCGCAATCTCCACATTAGCCTTTCTTGTCTTCGAGACCTTTCCCGGTAATAGGGAGCTCTTGATGCCCTTGAAGCTTTTGAAAACAGAGATAGGTGCATTTTGTGCTGGACAGGTATTTGAATTCTCTCCTGGGTCACAAGGCGCATACTGACTTGTTTGCTAGTTACTTATAGTTGCGAGCGGTTATGGGGTAAGTGAGCCTATTGCCTTGTCTGTTTACTTCACTGACAAACCAAAGTTCGTTTCTCAAATAGCACCTTACTTTGCAAATACTCGGGGAGCCTCAGATGCAGAAGGTGGGGGGCGAACAGCTCCTTTTAGTATTGGAAACGCTATAGGTGCTCTGCTCGCAGGACAAATAATCAAAAGGTACGCCCGGCTCCTCCTTCCTTTGAGACCTACCTAATAACTAATACCTGTCCTTAGATTTGGAACTTACAAAAAGCTTTCTATCGTCTCGCTGTTCTTCTGCATCACCAATTCCGTGGCGATCCTTATCCGATGGCCTCATACTATCGGTATGTCAAAGTGCAAGCTCTACCTTACGAATCCTCATTATCTTTCCCCACCAGAGCAAGGATTTGGCTTTGAAAGCAATCTCAAATAAAAGCTAACTAATGCATGAAACTCATTTAGGCGTTTGGGAGGGAATCATGACTACTTTTCCATTCGGTCTCTTTGGTGGCATAGCCCTCTCTGCACAGTTCATCGGCTTGTACCAGTGTTCTTCGAAGCAATATATGGCCACAGCTATTAGCATGTACTATATGAGCCAACAAATCGGTGTCGCCCTGGGCATAAGCATTAGCTCGGGGCTTTTGAAGCACCAGTTCCACGTCACCTTGCAGAAAATAATGACTGAAATCCCAGGTTATACAAAGGTCGGTCCCATGCCTCACCTCTTTCATAAAGAAAAACCCTGACCCGTACCAGGATCAAATTATCCAGAGAATTTTGGATGATTCCTCTGTAGTGGCACTGCTGCCTGAAGCGATCCAATCACTCATACGCCAGGGTTATCTTGCAAGTTTCTGGGTCGTACCAGGTATGTTATTCGATATCGCGCACAATCTCAGTGACTCTAGATGACTGATATTTTCTTAGTCTTTGTTGTGTCAACACAGGCACTCACCATTCTGCCTATGATTTCTACGATGGAGAAGTATTCATACTGAGTGTAAGATTATGGCAGGGAGCACTACGTATTTGTATATTGGGAAAATTAATCGACGATGTAACATCTACGGCCAGTACAATATGTCTCGTGTTTATTTTTGGGGGCATAATGTTTATGTGTGGAAATCATGGCAGTACGGCGCTAAATAGATTGGATTTTTGTAATGATGTTATTTTCGAAGTTTTGTGTGCGACTAAAATAGATAATGAAGTAAATGTGTCGATCAGAAGCATGAAGTTGCACGGAGTTGCCATTTTGGTGATGAGAAACATGAAGTTACACGGAATTGCCATTTGACAGTAAAGAGAACATACGTATATAAGCTTTTTTCAATCTATGGCTAGAGATAAAAACTATGGATTACGACTAGAGGCTTCGTACCATTTGTAGGCACGCCATGCCGCAAGTACCAAATCATTTCTTGCTCTCAGCAATAAGCCGCTCTTCTCTTTGCATCCGGCCTTCACTCTTCGGGTCATAGAAAGCTGCTTCTGTTAGGTGAGTCTTGCCAGGCCTGAAATTATGGGACTCACGTTTCTCCCCAAAGACAGTAGTTCTGATACCTCTCCTTATACCCGACTGGTAGTTTCCTGGTATGATCCGATGAAGACTTGATCTCTACACGCCTGTCAGCATCGACCAAATGGCTATCGACGGTCTAGATGTCTTACGTTATCCCATAAGGCGATACTTCCTGGTTGCCACTTCCATCTGACGTAGTGGTCATCCGAACTGTGAATAAGCAGGGTCAGGAACTGAAGAAGAGCATCTGACTCCGCCTTCTTCAACTCGGCAAAGCCAGTGCAATAAACGAGATTGACATTAAGAGACTTCAGGCCAGTGACAGGGTGTGTTCGAATCGCAGGATGATGTGTATCCATCGGTGGACGGCGGGGTTCATCGCCGAAGTAGTCCTGGAAGAAAGGGTCAGCTACTTTGTGTATCGTGGTTTCAAGATATTACTGGTACTGAGGGACGGGAACAGAAGGTCAGAGCTCACAATCAAGGTATCGTATTGCAAACGCGAGGTGTGCACAGCATGCAATCCTTCTAGAAGCTTTTGCATGTGGGGGCTAAGCTCATCATAAAGGCCATACCCAGACACCCAGGCCGTGTCTCCACCGACAGAAGGATGCTCCTCCATGCGAAGGAGAGAATAGCTTGGGGCTGTCCTTCATTAGAGAGGAACTTGATAGTAAGTAGAGGGGGCATACGGTTGATCTCAAAGCTCGTGTCAGAATGGAAGTCCGACATTGGCCACGGAGTGTATTTCAAAAGCGTCCGCCAATCTGCGTTGTTTCCTCCGACAATGAAATGCTTCGTATCCTGGCAGGTGTCAGAAAGGGCAAGTTCTTTCTCTACCGGGTGAGGAGATACGACCAAGTACTTTTTGAGTGGGATGCGTGTCCAAAACCCCAAAATGCTCAAATATCTCAACTTGCCTCTCAGTTGTCAAGTCTTGGTCTCGGAAGAAGACAACACCGCGTTCATTGACAAGTGCAGCAAGCTCATCCAATTGCTTCGTATCTAATTGGCTTAATTGAACATTCTGTAGCTCAGTGCCTAGAGGTCATCAGTCTATGTCGGTTCTGCATTTCGGAGATAGATACCGATGCTTTCAGTCACATCAGCGGGTGTGGTGACGGCAAACAATGCCTTCTTCTTTGGATCAGCGTAGAACCCCCGATCTTTCGGGGGTGTAAACTCTTTGTGAGGAGAGTCCTGGGGAACATGGGCCTTGATTTTGGGGTTGTAGTTGGGGTGGATCGCGGTTGGTTCCCCCGAGTCTGGGGAAATGTGCTTGTAGGCCTCCAGGGACTCAATCGGGGAAGGTCGGACTTTTGCCATTTTACCAACAAGCCGTGATGTGATCAATTTTTAAACAATTTAGAAGCAATGGAACCGTAGATAAAGGTCCTCCCGATTGAGAATACTGGGTTGCTGTTTGCCTTATAACAGAGGTGTAAATATCGTCTGGAGTCACCTTCGGCTTCGGGAGCCCCGGGATCTATAAACAGGGGTGTGAACCAGGGTCCTAGTGTGGAGCTGCTTGGATCCACCCTTATGCAGATCGCTACTAGTGGCTTTTATAAGGGGCCCACCAACTGAACAAGGTTCGGAACGAATATACCCAATTAGGTCATTGCCATGGCAATATTTTCTAAAAAGTGGAACACCAGACGTCGATACCTACCGTTCCACATCTCAGCTACTATCTGACCTCGGGAAGACGGGAATGAAAAGGATAATTCGGGGTAGGTACAGAGGCTCCAGCTCCTCGAAGATGCAGTGAAACGACAGAAAACAGATGATAGACCTACACCGCCGGTCGAGTTTATCCCGTCTTAGTTCCGCCTCAAAAGAACAATTATGCAGCATTAGTGAGTAGTCGAGGTGTGCTCTCCGATGAGATAAAGGGACTTGCAGCACTGGTCCATATTTCCGAGCCAGGGACGAAACATAAAGTAGCTGTGGTCATTTTCTTCCCTGCAGAATCTTTGACCACGTTTCTACTTGGTATATCTGAGATACTGGACATCAACCTGAGAGTGCTTCTTGTTTTTGCCTCTAGTCAGGAAATCATCTTGTTAATATGCAGCTCCTCTTTCCTCCAGTCTCTCCTTTTCTGGAGTTAATTCAACATGCGCGGCAACACCCCGATAGGATTGCACTTAGGGATCATTCTACGGGGAAAACTGCCACGGCTGGACAACTGTTGCAAAGGGTTTCTTCGCTCCGCGATAAATTGAAGGACGAATTGCTTCAGAATGGATGGGAAACCGCCAGCCAGGACAAGTTTATATTTCTGATAGCTCCTCCGGGATTGGAATATGTAGTGTCGATGCTCACCATCTTCTCCCTTGGTTCCGCCATGTCAGCACAATGTAAGTAGCCTATTTTTGTGATATGCATTATGCTTACTCAAACATAGCCATCGTTGTCAAGCCAGAGGACGTTCTACGCTACTTCAAGCTCGCAAAACCTCTGGCCCTGCTATATGCCCCCGCGCTCGCCGACAAAGCCCAAGGTATCAAAATCTTGTGTACCAGCAGTGACAGCGGAGTCAACCCAAAACTCCCTTTCGTGGAAATACAGACATCTTGCCTCGACACCTCGGCATCTCTCAAATACGAAACAAGCGTCAGTACCAAGAATCTATCTACTCAGAATGGTACATTGTTCTTCACATCAGGCACGTCGGGAAACCAGAAAGGCGTTGTTCATTCCTACCAAGCTCTTCTTGCGTCCGCACGAGAGCGAATAGGGACGTGGCAGATGACAGAAAAGGATGTGTTTCTCAACCAAAAGCCAGGTAATTGGATGGGAGGAATTTTCGGGATTATTCCAAGTTTGATGTCTGGTGCTTGCCTGTAAGTCTTTGTGTCCATTTCGGTGAAGTGCTAACGATGTTTAGAGAAACTTGTGGAGGCGTCTTCAACCCCGAATGGTTTTGGGAACGCATCAGACAGGGGGGCGTCAGCGTATTTGACGTTGCACCTACTGGTTATGACAGGCTCGCAAAGTACTTTGATGACCATATCGCTGTGCTACCCCCCGCAGAGACGGAGATTTATATTCAAGGAATGACAGCGGTTAAAGTAGCTGGCGTCTCGGGATCACTCCTTTCACCACATACGCAGGAGAGATGGACGGAACTCCGTCATGGAAAGCCATTGCTAAACCTGTATGGATCTACAGAGGTTACCTTGATATGCAGCATGAGATGGGAAAACCCCGACTATACTGATATGGTAATGACGACATCCTCACACTCTGGGCTGAGATATTAACCGCATGCTAGTGCTCGATCGGATCACCCGTGACGGGAGTTGAGGTGAAGCTTGTTGACGGGGAGATGCGACTCAAGGCTCCTTCGATGTTCTCACGGTATGAATAAAGACATGTATGCAGGAGCAGAGTGCTAACGAACCAGATACATTTCAGATGATCCAACCTTGACCGAGAAGGCTTTTGATTCAGAGGGCTACTTCAAGAGCGGAGATTGTGCCGAAAAGGTCGGGGATACTTATGTTCTCCACGGCCGGGCAAATATAGATGGTTCGAGCACTCTCCCATATTCAAAACACTTCTAACCCTTATAGTACTGCATTTCTGGGGCTTCACCGTCCATACAGGCGAGGTCGAAAGCGCGCTTCTCTCGCTCCCCTACATCACCAACGCCATCTCCCTGCCTCTGGCCGATACGGAATACAAGGAGCGCGTCGCTGCTATTGTGCAATTAAAGCCATCATCAGAGCAGCCGAGCTTTGACGCCCTTCGACATGACCTGACAGAAAAGACTGGTCTTATGCTGTTCAAGCAACCGACAGTAATCTACTGGCTTAAAGAGGGGGAGGAAATCTCTTTGACAGTAAATGGCAAGATTTCTAAGATAGATGCCCGCAAGAAGTTCTTTGGTGATGGATGGCGGGGCAAGGATGGAGTGGACGTTGTCGATTTGTCGAAGATGGAGTATTGGCGCATGGGTGGGCAGTGTTGAGAGGGATGAGGAGTGGCGATTTGTTTCCAAGGACTTCATCAATTATGCAAGCTGCATTCGGAAACAAATATAAATGAAGCTATTTCATGATGCCTCAAAAAGCAACAGATTTCATCAGATAACAAGTCTTCGCCAAAACTCCGTTGTTTCTCAATAGCCGTTGATATCAGACCTACATTGACTGTCCACAAACTACCGATGCAATTGCGCGGTACGTCTTCATGGAGCCTGCTGTGATCCATGGGCCATTCGTATTACTCTGGTATATACTTTGTGGAATTGTGTGCGCGAGAGGCGTTTCGGCCAGAATCTGATATGCAACACGATACGTTGCAGATTAGTCGCGATAGGCATCTAGTGGCCTAATTGAGCGATACTTGAGAATACCTGAGTACGTCTACAGTCTCGGTGAGAATATCGAATAGGAAATACGATGCAGCATTTCACCAGCAGATCAGTAGCGGTGAAATATCTGATAGGCATTTGGTGGCGTAATTGAGTGCAAGTTGAGAGCTGAACTTTTATCGTATTTTGTGTGCACGTACGGTGGTAC